CTACTTATCATGCCACCAACAAAATATGCAAACATCCATATAACATATAAACATTAATATCATATATCTCGTGTCTATTTAGGAACAAATCCCAAACAACACCCAAATAAAGACTCGGTATTCAGCCGTCGAGTCCACGGACTTGGCGTTTCCGCCTTCGGTCCCCCTCACTTGGCACAATGGCCTTCGGTCAGTCGGCTCGGTATTCAGCCGTCGAGCCCCAAAATATCGACTCGGTATTCAGCCGTCGAGCCCAAACATATCATGCATATACATTCCACATAACAAATAAGTACATCAAACATAACTAATGCAACAATTATTACTTTAACTATCAACCATATAGTTCCTACTCTCACCCGACCTAACAGTAGGCATATAATACTCTAAGGTTATGAAGTGAGGAACTCACCTCTAGTAGTCAAACACCCTTCAAATAATAAAAACACCCCTTCACACCAGGTTAACCTTCAACTTCCTAATAATGACCAAAAAGAGTTAAGTTATGGTACTTTGATAAAGTATAATGGCTTGAGTGTTATATTTTTTACCAGATTTATACATTGAAATTATAGTCTTGTTCGGGACCTGTTTTACCCCCCTTAAACACTTTATTTTTCAAAACTGTTTTATATGCATTAATTACAGGTCATTAGCTTTAAAAGTAGTATTCACACACCTCTGTACGATTTTTCTACAATTTTTGAGGATTTTTACAAAACTGCCTCGCAAAACAGTTCATTACGGACCAGTATGGGTAAATGGTCGATTTCACCCTAGTTAGGGGCATTTATGGCCTTTGGTCAAAACTAATGAAATGTATAGGACTCAAAAACGAAACTCTGGCTTTTGGTTTCGACTAAAAAGGTTTTCGCATGATCGAGATATCTTCTCTCAAAGATATGGACAGATTAGGGTAAAATCCTGAAATCACAGCTTTGTCTTTTTAGGGTTAATTTGACCTCTTAACCCATTAAGACCTATCCAATGAGGCTTATAATCAGTAAAATGAGTTCATAACAGTAGATTACTTCATTGGTATAGAATTCAATGAAAATCTCAACCCCTTTTCTTGAGATTTCTTGCATAAAACATCAAAATAAGTACAATGCCCTCATGGGAAGAATACCAACTAGGGTTTAAGGTTTGGGACCAAAACAACCCATGTCACCACTTAACCCTCAAAACACCTTGGAGCATCACTACCCACTGCCATAGTGGCAGTGGAGGCTGGCGGTGACTGCCACCACCTTGGCGGTGGTAGTGGTGGTGAAGATTTCGTTTAAAGGTAGAAGAGAAAGAAGGAGAATAAGATTGCATGACTTACTTGAGAATGATGAATGTTTCTCCCTTGATGAAGATGTCGTAGCCTCCTTCCAACCTTCACTTTCGATGCTCCCTTATTCTCCACTCTCGTTCTTTCTTTTCTCCCTTCTCACTCACGGCTACACAAAGAAAAACAGCACCCCCTTAACTTGATAGGGTTAGGCCGAAATTTTGAGGCTTAAAAGGCCTTTTGGACGTGATTATGGGCTGCCCTAAGTTGGTGTCCGATCAAGGGGGGTCCAAAGTTCAAAAACATAGCATTTGGCCTTTTAAGTTTGACATAACGGCTCCTCTAACCCCAAAAACAATTCCATTGCACAATGGGTCCATAATTAGCCCTAATTACCCCACCCTATTATTATTATTTTAATACAGTTAAATATACCAGAAATAATAAATAAAGTATAATAAATTCACGTACCATGAACCGGGGCGTTACACCAATCAAATTAATCTAATAGTCAAACTCAACTAGAAATCCTAAACATGCAATCAATAAAAAATATATCATTAATTATTCGTGCTTCTCATATCATTGACCATGTTTTTCACATCACCCAACTCTATCCTTTGTTTATGTATGGTTTCCTCTAGTTTCTGGATCTTTAAATAGAGATGATGATTTTCCGAATTACTATCTAGTGAAATGCATTTTTGAGAAGAGTTTTCAAGAAAAATGGACCTGTCATATGATCCAAACCCATAAACTCTTTTCTTGCAATCATGTCCTCCAACAACAACTTGCTTTCAAGAATTTGGAAAATTGATTCAAAGTTTGAACAAAACTAGACATACTAAGCATTCCAGAAAAGTAAGTCTCATAATTTTTAGATGTTCGGATTGCCTCAAACGGATTTTTGAAGTTGAAGGGCAGAATTGGAAAAATATGTCATTTTAGGTTTTCATTCATTTTTGGAGTTTTATTAAGGACTTAATGGTTAAGTTTATAGTTTAACATTTTTAATAAAATTATTGACTACATATGAGGTTTCAAAAATATACAAAACAACTTTACTCAAAAGTCTTAATGCATGCCTTAATGGTGTATAAAGTTAGGGCTTAACAAAATAATAATAAAAATGTATAAAGCTTCATTTCATGTCTTAGCCTAGGACTTCCCTGGACCAAAATACCACAACCACCAACCCATGGTGGCCTATGGTGGCAGGAGCTGACTCACACTGGCGGTAGGAGGCTGCCCGTGGCGGTCCTTGGTGGTTTCACAGTGGAAAGAAGAAAAAGAGATGAGAAAAAGAGATGAAGAATTACCCAATAGCTAGAATGAGACTGGAACACTCCTCCCGACACCCTTTTCCCTACAAGTAGCACCTCCGGTAACACCAAGTCCGATAGTACCCTCTTTCCGATCGCAACTATCCTTCATGTTGACTCTTTTCTCGACCGACAAATGAAAACACGCACATAATTTGGTCCTAGATCGATTAGGGTTAGATTAGGGCTTATAAACGTGTTTCTTGAAATCATGGGCAGCCAAAAATCCAATCCCGATCCTCCCTAATTTATCCAGTCGAGTATAACAAAGAAAAACCTCGATTTTTCAATTTAGACCCTGATTTTTCCCATAATGACGGAAAATACCCTCAAAACAAATTTATTTTCACAGAAGGTTTTCAACTGTGACACTTTTAGCCCCTAATTTTTCATTACCTTCCATTATTGATTCATGGATGTTATTTCATCTTAACTATTATTATTATTATTATTATTATTATTATTATTATTATTATTATTTTCTTTATTTATTATTTAGCCACTTAATATTTATCGGATCTTTTTTATTCGTTTTATCACCGACAAAATTCCTTAAAATTATTCTCCTTAATTATATAATTATTAATTTAACTAACATTCAATTCCTGAAACAATTATCATAAAAAAATAGAGCATTACAGGTTTATTTCCATTTCAATACATTTTCTATAAAAATAAGTCATGGTGACTTAAAATTGCATACTGGAAAATTCTATTGTATAATATTTATGGTTTTTATATTATAATATAATAGCTATGACCTATGATCTTGTAGCAAATTCTGTAGCGACATAGCTACAGATTTTGACTATGTAACAAATGTCGTAGCAAGCTAGCTACAGACTTAGATGCGGTAGCAAATTTTGTAGCAAAATAGCTAAAGATTTTGATTCCGTAACAATTTATGTAGCAAAGTAACTACAAACTTTAATCTGTAGCAACAGTTGTAGCAAAATACCTACGCCTTATAATTCTGTAGCAAATTTCGTAGCATGATAACTACGGACTCTGATTGCGTAGCAAAATTCTGTAGTTATTCAAATATTAGCTATAGAATGCAATTTTGTAGTTAATTCCGTAGCAAATATACATACGTCTAACTAGTTTGTAGTATATTCCATAGTAGAATAGCTATGGTTTTTAATTCTGTAGCAAAATTCCGTAGTTATTCAAATATTACCTACGGAATGTAATTCTATAGCAAGTTCGATAGCAAAATAGCTACGACAAGCCATTCCGTAACATAATCCGTAGCAGAATAACTACGGATTTTACTTTCGTAGAAAATTTCCGTAGTTATTTCAACTTTTTCTTGTAGTGTGAGAATGCGGCCACCCCACCCCCACCTCCTTCCTCGCGCAGCCCTTCCCGCACCGCCGGTGCGGTGTTCATCGGAGCGGGAAAGGTCCCACCCCTCTTCACGCATCCGGCTCCGTCCGGTCAAATAATAATAATAATAATAATAATAATAATAATTAAATAAATAAAATGTGCAAAAATGTCATTTCGTTATTAATCAACCCTTCTATTTTAACGTAGTTAGGAAAAGTGATCAAGTGTGTTAGGTTTTGAAATCGTACCAAACATGTATTGTTTACGATAATGTTGTCAACGTTATACTTTTTGCAAAACTGCACATGGATCAATTTGGTGAAATTTTGTATTAAAAGTAATATAAAAATTTGATTCTATATATTTAATAAGAATAAATGAAGAAGATTTGTTAAAATAATAATAAGACACAAAATAAAATCAGAAAAATATATATGTATACAATTCACAATTAAAATCTTGATACGAGTACACCAAGGTCATCAACTATAAGTAGATTTGTCTCGTCAACCAACAGCATGTGCTACGCGTGTCTCTAGATCTTCCACAGGTAACTCTTATGATTTGTTTAGAATCTTATTGACCAGCTTTTCGTATGTGCAAATCCTCCATATTTTGTGGCGTTTTTTTCACAATTTTTTCTCTTCTTGAAGGCGTAAACTAGAGCAACAAAAATGTCGTTACAAGATTGGGCTTTTTCTTATAATTTTAGAACCTGGTTTTGAAGATATCAATCTGGTTTTGTGTGTCTGGATTTTGATTGTATCGATATCAAGAGAAATTTTGAAACCTTTCTTGGTTTTGAAGAGATTTAAAGGTACTTGGTCGGGTAATTCATTGATCCGTCAACATGATATGGTTTGGATGGTAATTTAATGAACGTAATCTATAAGTAATCTCTGTTCTAAGGTTTTACTGGCTAACTACGAAGTTTTGTTGGGTTGTTAGAGAATATAATTAACTGTGTTATGTAAATTATTGTATGGTTGGTGATTTCATAATAAGTGTTGGTACGTGATATTGATTTCGATGGTTGTTTTTCATTCTTATATTTAGAATATCTGTTTGTTATGAACCAGCTAGCAAGGAGGGAGTCAATTAGTGAGATGAGAAGCAACACACAGCTAGAAGATGTTCCGGAGTTGATGCAGCGAATACAATTGTTGTTGCCGGTAAATGAGGCGGCCCGCACCAGTGTCTTGTCCAAGTCATGGCTGCATGCTTTGTCCACCATCCCTAACCTCAGATTTTACGTACGCGAAACAAACCATTTGAAGTTGGTAGATCGCACTCTGAACTGGTATTCACATTTCAACATGCCAATCGAAAGCTTTGACCTTAATATCCGAATTGAGAACCAGGAATCGGCTTCTCTTGCTGAAAATTGGATCCGCTTCGTTGCAACCAAAACTTGTCTGAAAGAGCTTTCCCTCACATTCTACCTATATGGTGCCTCGCTTACGTTGCCAGATGAGATACTCTCAGTTGCTAAGAACCTAACTATATTAAGAGTTGTAACTACGCGGGGGTGCCATTCTCTTTGGATGAAAAGTAGCCATCATCCTCCTACCATCAACTGTGTATATCTACGTGAAGTGCTTTTTCGTGGTGTGGGTATAAGTCAAGAGGTATTTGATGGTATATTGTCGTCTTGTAGATTGCTTGAGAAGCTAGAGCTTACACTTTGTTCACAGAGGGAACTCAAGACCATTAAGGTTATAAACTTTCATCGTCTTTACGAATTAATAATACATTTAGAGCATGCAAATTCCACTGCTGTGGAAATTAGTCATGTCCCAAATCTTCGTTTGTTTAGCTGCCTACTTGGAGGACCAAATGACACTCATCTATCCAACGTCTGTTCGTTATCATTAGGAAGAAGCGTGACCGAACTAAGCTTAGGCGGTCTCATCAAAGATGATGCATCTCTGGACATGATCAAATCTGGATTTCCTTTTCTAGAGAGTTTGACCCTTTATATGGGATGTTGGACTTTGGGAAGCTTCCATTTCACTTGTGCCTCGCTCAAGAGATTGTCCCTTCTATGGTGCCCCCTACACAACTTTACAGACGTACAAGTTTACGCTCCAAAATTAATTTTTTTCTCTTTTATTGGCTACTCAATGCCTAGTCTCTTGTTTCCTATCTCGACTCTCCACAAAACCACGTTTTCGATGATACTCTACAAGCCCCTTGATGCATCTTTTTTTCTTAAGATGAGGGAAGCACTCGCGTTATCTAGCGAGTGCAAGATTAATATAAGTAAAGATTATGAGCCGCCATCAGATATCGACATTGATGATCTAAGGACAAGGCTCCCATTTCCTCCGGCTAACAATGTGCGACGATTGGTGTTTGAAACGAACAAGGATGAATGTCTGTGGGAACACTCTCAATTTTTTGATGCATTCTTTGAGATTTGTCACCCCAAGAAAGTAGTTGCGAAGCCTGACGTGCATTTCAGACACACAAATCACTTTTGCAAGCTCATGCTGAGGGAGGTCTTGGAGAAGAAGACAACCAGAGGAGGCCAATATTGGTGTCGTTACCTCAAAGATGCCCAAATAAGACCTCATGAAACATGGGAAACCCTAACAAATTCCCACAGAAGCTTTCTAGATGGGCCGGAATCGGCTACCTACTTCAAACTGAACTGGTCAACTAATGTTAACGAATAACTATTCCACCGCCGACTATATATATCTCATGTTTTACTTTCGGTTACATTTTATATGTTATAAACATATTTAAACTTTAAACTTAAAATTATATATGAATGCGATGTTTATATAAGTCAAGCTTTCAATGTGAGATCACACCACCAAACGTAAATTATTCTACACTCGTTGTAACATGATCACACATAAACAAATTAGTTGTGTTATCGACATGTTGGAATGTTTTGACTAGGTTGTAAAGTCTGAGATCTCACCCTAGACCATTTCCCATTTTGAAAGAATGTGATCATGAGACCGAGTATGATCAGAAGATTCCAAAATTAAATAATTACAAGTTTAAACATGAAAAATATATTTTCATTAATTTATTCGTAAGTTACAAAAAGTTTAAGACATGAGTGATAAGCTTAAAACGTAAAACATTAAGGTCTAATGTATGTATCTAATCTAATGAATATTACACGAATTAGAGAGAGAAACTTTTGTATTGAATTACTCCATGAGCTCAGTTCTTACAATACATATAACGAATATAACAGATATAATATGAATTTACAATATTGATCCCTAAACTATTTACATATGTACAATATTATTCCTAACCCCTCCCCCCTAAGGTGGCAGAGGGGAATATATGTTCTTCAGTGCCATCTTGCTCATAAAAGGTTGCAGCTTCGTCGATGGAAGAGGTTTAGTAAACATGTCAGCTAACTGAACTGAGATCGAATAGGCAAGGATCGAATTGTTTTATCCATGAATTTCTCACGAACAAAATGCAAATCGATTTCTATATGTTTGGTACGCTCATGAAAAATGGGATTAGATGCAATCTTAATTGCAGCATCATTGTCACAGAACAGTAATGTAGCTTCTTTTAGAGGACAACAAAATCTCTCAAAAGTTGTCTTAACAAAATAATTTCAGTAGTGGTAGAAGCAATTGATCGATATTCAGCTTCAGCTGAAGAACATGAAATAGTGGGTTGCTTCTTCGATTTCAAAGATACTAAAGAATCTCCAAGGAATATACAAAAACCAGTAATTGATTTTTGATAATCCAAGCACTTTGCCCAGTCAGCATCGCAAAAGGCTTTTAGTGTCAATGAAGATTTGGCAGAAAATAAAATGCCTTGTCCAGGACTGTGTTTCAAATAACGAACCAAATGGCAAGCTGGTTGATAATGAGGAACACGAGGATTGGACATATATTGAGGTAGTTGTTGAACTGAGTAAGAAATGTCAGGTCTGGTGATATTTAGATAAAGCAATAAACCAATTAATCTTCGATAACGAGCTGGATCATCATATACATCACCCACATCACTTCTTAAATTCTTCCTTGGTTCCATTGGAGTAAATACAGGCTTGGCACCCAAGAATCCCAGATCTTCAACTAGTTGAAGAGTGTAATTTCGTTGAGAGACAAATATTCCTTCTTTAGAACGAGCAACTTCCAATCCCAAGAAATATCCCAAAGATCCCAAATCTTTAAGTTTAAATTGATCACTCAACTTTTGTTTCAATGAATTGATTTCATGAATTGATGATCTTGTAATCAGAATGTCATCAACATAAACCAAAAGAGCAATATATTTGTCCCCGATACCTTTAAAAAATAATGAATAATCAAATTTTGATTGTGTGAAACCAATCTGAATCATGAAAGTGGAAAACTTCTCAAACCATTGACGAGAAGCCTGTCGTAATCCATAAATTGATTTATTTAGACGACATGCTAGTTTGGTACCAGTTGGACACTTGTGATCTTGAACATTTAAACCTGGAGGAATATCCATATAAACTTCTTCTTTTAACTCCCCATTTAGAAACGCATTGTTGACATCTAATTATACCCAATTCCATGAATTAGCAGCAGCTATAGCAAGAAGAAGTTTAACTGTAACCAATTTGGCAACAGGGGTACAAGTGTCAAAATAAAATCAACTCCTTCCTGTTGACTGAATCCTTTGGCAACAAGTCTAGATTTGTGTCTTTCAATTTGATCATTGCTTCCAATTTTAAGCCTGTTTACCTATCTACAACCCACAGTATGCTTTGTCTAAAGGTAAGGGCATAATGGTCCATGTTTTGTTATCATTCATTTCTTTTCACTCATCATCCATAGCTTGACACCATTCAGGATATTTAGCAGCTTGATTATAATTGCTAGTCTCAAAATTAGCAGAAATGTTCATCATCATGGCCTTATGAGAAGTAGACAATTTATCATAATTGAGGACATCCTCCAAAGGATATAAAGAAGAATTGTTTTTGGAAAGTTTCAAAGAATTACAATGAAAATCCTTTAAGTAAGTTGGAGGATTTCTATTGCGAATTGGTCGTGTATTGAGTGGAGGAATGGATTCAGAAATCTGTATTGGAACTGTAACGCCCCGATTCTCAGGTATTGTTTTAAATAAGATGTATTGGGTTAAGCTCTACTCGACGAGTTGATTGCCCTACTCGTTGAGTAGCAGCGGGGTGGGATCGCGTGTTAAGTAACCTACTCGACGAGTCCATATTGGGACTCAGCGAGTAGGAGCTGGCAGATGAAACCCTAAATCCCGGGGTTTGTACCCCTATTTAAAGGGACCTTAGCCTCCCTTGAACCTCTTTACAGTTCTAAAGAGTCCTTGAGAGCCCTTATTCGTGTGTGTGTGCCTTGTGTATGTGTTGAAGCTTGAAAAGGGGATTTTTGGAAGGAGAAGACTTGGAGGAGAATGAGATTGGAGCAATTAGAGTGTGGAAATCAACATTCATCTCAGATATCATCTTCCAGAGGTACCTAGACCATCATTTTCCTTATAGATCTCCTCTATTGGTTGAGTTTTAGGGTTTTCTTGGAATATCAAGTTGGTATGATGAGCTATGGGCTAGATTTGAAGTTGTAACTTCAGATCTGGACCCTCTTCGGATTCTAGAAGCATAAAGTTACAGTTTTGGTCGTGATTGAGGTCCCTCTTGGGCATGAAGCCCCATTAAGAGCTTAGATTTGGCATTTGGAGCATTTAAAGCCATGCATGCACGTAAAGCTTGCAACTTTACGTGATAAGCATGCCCTAGAAGCTTGGATTTGTGAGTTGGAGCCGCTGCATGGCTTAAAATAGGCCTGTATGGAAAAAGGACTGAATGGACTCGGCGAGTCGCAAGGTTGACTCGGCGAGTCACATGAAGATGACCGTGAACTCGACGAGTTGGACGAACAACTCGGCGAGTCCGATGATGATTGCCATAGAATCGACGAGTTGAAGAACCACTCAGCGAGTCGGATGAGTTTTTCTCCTGGATATGTATGCGTGTATATCCGTCGAGTTGCAAGGAGGGAACTCGACGGGTGGCCTTAAAGTTTGATCGAGAATCGAAGGAACTTGACGAGTCACCCTAATGACTCGGCGAGTTGGAATGTGCTTCAAGGAACTCGGCGAGTAGCCGAGGGTACTCGGCGAGTCGAGGTCAACATGGACTGTTGACCTTGACTGAGGACTTTGACTTTGATCAGGGGTTGACTAGTGGGTTATGGAGTACCTTATAAGGTTAAAGACTTACGAGCATATTGTGCTATAGGTGGTGGAGCCTGTGTCAAGTGATCCGATAGTTGGAGCTTACCTTCCGAGTCGACATCTGCGAGGTGAGTTATCCTCACTATATCGATAGGGTCTACGGCACCAAGGCCGTCCCTTTAGTTGTTATTGTTATGGTATGCTATATGTGGTTATGATCTGTTAGATCGGAATCAGGGTAGACAGTATGCTATGCTCTTATGATCCGTAGGGATTGGTATATTAGTGACCTTCTAGGTCGGTACTCTAGCTACCAGAGAATTCTATGATTGATGACCAGTGATAAATATGCTTGATGTTTATATATGCCAGTATATGATAGTTATTCGCACATAGTATTTGCTTGTTGGTTGGGTTGAGGCGGACCTGCTTTGTGTTGTAGGCCAACACACCCTATGAGCGGTCCGGGGAGACTGTAGGCCCACGTGGCGGACCAGTCATGCCGAAGGCTCGGGATAGATCCAGATAGACTGTAGGCCCTGTAGGGTGGTCCAGTCAGGCCGATGGCCCAGTATGCATGTTGATTGATTGATTATTACTGATATGGTATTGTCAGTGTGGTATTGGTATTTTGGGGGTAGCTCACTAAGCCCTCGGGCTTACAGGTTTCAGTTTATTGTTTCAGGTACTTCAGGAGATCATGGAAAGGCGAAGGCGTGACCGTACCGCTCCTCATCCTTATGTTATGATTTTTGGGACACTCTGATGGATAATGATTTGAAAACATTTTGTAAACAATGCTATTTGGTTTTTATTTATGATTGAAAAGTTTAAATTTGGCGTAAAATTTATGGATGTTTCAAGTTGGTATCAGAGCCTTGGTTTGAGTGAATTGGAGGAACACTCGTGTGAATCCAGTCTCAAATCAAGGAGATTTTCGGAAAGTAAGTTTTAAAATGGTTTTCAAAATAAAGGATGGAGGATGCAGAGGGTACGATCAGCCGGAGCCTGTAAGTAAACAGCAAAATACCATGCAGTTATTTGATATTCTGATATGTTAGAACAGCATGCTAGTGCTAGGCTAGGGATCTTCAGGAATCGCATGATAGATTTGCCTGATTACATGATGCCTATTAGCCTAGGGTTTCTTGTACGTGGAATTGACATCATAACTGTAGATGTTTAGTGTATGCATAACGACTGTGCATAATAAAGACCTTATAGCCTGAGAATGTTGATTCGGCCTTCGGGTAGGATTGGATATACGAAAGTCTATTGGGTCCAGCGTTATGTGTAGCTAGCGTGCACTGGCGCTGCAGGGGATGATGGAAGTTTCATGGATGTGTGAGTCGTGATAAGTGGTGAGACTAGATGCGAGATATTTGGTATTCCCCTAGAAGTGAGGGTTGAGCGCATTTCCTATGTTGATGATATTGTTAAGGCGTTGTGGTGATACTTGAGACAAATATGGGTAGGTGTGGAAGGTAGTATGGGCCCGTAC